AGACAGAAGAAATGGTCCGTTTGGGTTACTTGAAGATAAATGTGGCAATACTTATGTTGAGCCCAAATTCCCAAAGAAAAAAATTGATAGAAAACCGAATTCGATATTAAAGTGTTTCTGGAAAGATTTAAAACTAGAACAACAGTTTACAAAAGGCATTAAAAAGATAAAAACTGTTCCAGGGGTTCTTAAGGATCCCCCCCAAATTGGATAAGGTGCATTTCTCTCCTGATAAAGGTTATACTAGGGGTTCAGGCTGTTTTGCCCACCAAGGTCTCCCCCAGCAGCCAGGTATGGTCAATGGAGAGATGACAGATATGGCTACAGTCAGGAGACAGACCCAGGGCCTGTCTGACTCGGGGAACCAACAGGTGCAGCAGGGACAAGAGATTCCTTGCAAGATCTCCAGAATGTGAAATGATTCCAAAGGGATAACTAAAGATAGTAAAGAACTAACCAAATTAATACCTCATATCCATGCTACAGTACCTAACAAGGATCTATGGAGAAAACACTTAATACAAATGGATAGAACCTTTTCATGCTGTTAGAACTTTCGTATGATTGATTTAATATATAATGTTAACCTTCCTTTGGGTGTTTTAGAGATGTGAAACCTATTTGAAAATACCTGAAGAAACAAAGGCTACAGGGAAGCCAATACAAGTGTACTGTTTAATGAATATAGTGCACCTACTGGGATATCCTCTAGACATTTGTATTTACATTCATGTTTGTTTAGATGAGTCTACTTCCTTCCATTTGTCTTTATAGTAGAAGAAACACCACTGAGATAGATCAATGGCCACAGCTTAAAGACGAATAATAGGGAGGCCCAAGAAATCACTATCTTACCATGATACAGGAGAGATTGCCCTACATCTGTCCCCCACTTCAAGGCTCAGGGACCCTAGTGGAAGATTGGTGGAAAGATTGTAAGAGTTGGAGGAAGGGATGGAAGTCCAGAGGAGCACTTGTTCCTCTGAGGGGTGGGACCTGCTGCAGAGAATTAGCTGCTGAGAGTTAGCTACAGGGATGGAGCTGTGGAGAGTGTGCTGGGGAGGGAGCAGCGTTGGCACTATCTTGGCAGTGGCAGCCTGGGAAAAATGGCCCCAGTGTCTTGGCCATGTGAATGCGAAAGGGGGTATTTACCAACCTGGGGTGAGACTGTGGGCCCACGAGACATGGGTGAAAGCTAATGGAGACTGTGGGTGCAGCGTGGAATTGATCTGGGACAGTGGGCCACTGAGCCACAGAATGGAACATGCGCTGGGTGTTTGCCTTTGTAAGTTACTCTATTTCCCCTACCCAGGATATAAACTATGAAAAATTCAGATAAAGATGTGTTATATGGTTTGTCTAATAGCACCAGGAGCAAGGGATCCTAAGAGAACTCAGGTGACAATGGGAAAAATCAATTGCCAGCAACATGTAGATTTCAGAAATCCTGCTCTGGGTTTTCTCAGTGGTGACCACAGTGTCTTAAGAGATGCTCCATCTCCAAATGCATGTTTGTTGGTGTTCTGATGGTCAATGCAAATCAGGTGTTTGTCTAGTGTTAATAACGGACTGAAGATGGGTAGGGCTTCTGGGAAGTGCCATTTACTGGGGATATTAACATTTCTGTAGATCAGAGAATTTCTTTCAAGCAGTCATTTCTTCAGAACTCTTCACAAGAACTCTCAACATTCTGCCAATAAATTATCAAAGAACAAAACCTATCAGTCTTTATGAGCATGAGCTAACAGACAGAAGTCCAAGTATGTACATCAGAGAGGAGGATTTTTCTAAGATTCTCTTCTGCCCATTGGTGTACTTTCAAAATTTTATTGCCAATATGCTAATCTTGGAGCCATATCCTTCAAAAGCTTGACATCCAAGAAAGGGCATTTATTCACAGAATTTTCAAAACTAATAGAATAGGGACATACCTCATCACACTAAAAATAAACTATCCTTTCATGTTGTTGTGTGAGCTTGTTCCTCAAATTAAAATATTCCCTCCTAGAAGAGGAGGGTGGCTCATAAGATACAGAAAACAAATGTGCCTTTCAAGTCTTATGAAGCTTGTAAAGTTACAAGATTCACAAGGTACTTTCTTAAGGTTATAAAAGAAGCAAACAGCTGATATGGAAAGGAAGCTTTTCAGTGGGATTTTTCTGCAAGTTGGTTGAGTGCTCCAGGGATGCAGCATTCATGAGTCATCCCCAGGGTGCTGGAATATGATTTTTGGTGATGCACCTCCTTTAACCCATCCATGCTCCTGTAAGCAACTGCTCACCTACACTCCAATAAACTTGTTGGTTCATCAAACTAGATTCACTTTTTGTCTTTCAAGGATGCCCTATTTGGGGTAAATACACAATGGTTCATGTCTTCCTAGACAAAGTTATAGAAGTCACACAACATAGATAAATCCAAGTTTATCACCCATTGGAAAGAAAAAGTAAATCTTTGATGTAAACTGTCAATGGTTAGTTACTATTTCTATTTTCCAATGATTAAAAGCTGAAATGCTTAACCTGGGTCCAGATTCTCTGGCATAATTTCATTGTAATGTTGATAGGATTATATTATTTAACTTCCGGTAAGAACATGTTTTCATGTTTTTCTAACATTCCTATTCTTCCTTCTATAAATTAAAAATGTTCATAGCAATCACATACCCACAATGGCATCCAGAATAGCCAAATCTTATTCTCATTACAGTTGTTTCCACAGGCAAACTGGTGAAACCTGAGGTTATTAAATTTGTAGTGACATGTGACATTATTTGGCCCTATGGCATAGAAGAAAAAGCTCAGCCTTATAAAGATTGGATGATGAGTTTAATTTTAGAAGTGAATTTATTGAAAAGCCAAATATAGGACTACTGTCTTCTTGTTCCTACTGAACTGCATGTATGTAACATTCTTGGAGATGAAGAAGAAAGCTTAGGCCCTAAATCTCCATCTATGTTAGATTAAAACCAAATTTTATTTCATTTGTTAACATAGAAACTCTAATTAAATTATCTCTGAGTTTTTTTCACAGTTCAAATTACTGAGGTATATAATGAATTTTAAAAACAATATGTTAGGTTTATATGAATCCTCACTCAGGTGCTTTCAAATTCATACATTGAACTTCTTTAATGAAATCACAATTGTTCATCTGGAAAGAGAGTTAGAAATTACTTAAAATCCTTAAACATTGAGAATGAACTGTTTTTGTCCTGTATTTTTTTCATCAGCATTTTAGATTAAATTCTATCTTATCTAAGAGAAAAGCAACACTGTTGAGTATGACAAGTCATCCTTATCAGTTTAGCTGATTTAACATTAAACTCAAAGACTGTCAAGGGTCTGGAAAGTTTTTCCCACAATTTCTTGCCAAAAAAAGAAGAAAAGGAATAAAAGGAAGACTCAATTTCCATCTTCCCACTTTGAAACTAGGCTCACTAATGCTGTTCCAGAACTTACATCTACCCTACCTATTTAGTCAGAACCTGCCCACTCGGTGTCCACTGTCCTGCTTTGGGAAGAGGCCCTTTCTGGAGGTTCCAGGGATCACATCTATTCTGATTAGCAGCTGATGGAATTTTCTCTAAAATAAACAACATACTGTGGCACAAACAAAAACTCAACAAATACAAAAACATTGAAATAATTCCATGTATTCTATCAGACCACAATGCAATACAGCTTAAAAATCAACAACAAAAGAAGTTCTAGTAAGTACATGAACTCATGGAGATCAGCAATACACTCATGGTTGATAAATGGATCAAACAAAAAAAGAAACAAAAGTATTCTTGGGAACAAATGAAAATAACACAACAGAAGAAAATCTCCGAGACACATTAAAAGGAGTCCTAAAAGGGATGTTTATAGCTCTTACACCTACATTTAAAAACAGAAAAAGCACAAATAAATGATTTAATGCTACAACTCAGGAACATGGAAAAGCAAGAAAAAAAAAAAACAAACCTAAAGAGAGCAGCAAGAAGAAATAATAAAAATCAGACCAGAAATCAATAAACTAGAAACAAAGAAAATAATAAAGAATTAATGATTCTAAGAGCTGGATCTTTGAAAAGATGAACAAGGTAAATAAACCCTTCACCCAACAAATGAAAAGAAAGAAAGCAAATTCAAATAAACAAAATCAGAGACAAAAATGGAAACATCACAATAGATGCCAAAAAGATGCAGAATATTATAACAAAATACTTAAAAAACCTATACTCTATTAAATTTTAATTTTTTTTTAAATGGACAAATTTCTAAATTTAATGGAACCACTAATGTTAAACCAAGAAGAGACCAACAACTTAAAAAGACTCTTAACAAATAAACTAAAACAGTAAAGTTCTCCCAATTTATAAAAACCCAGGTCCAAATGGATTTACAGCAGAATTTTACCTGACCTTCAAAGAAGATCTACAGTCATACTGCTTAAATTATTTTAAAAAGGTAGAAAAAGAGAGAGAATGTCCAAAACTTCTTTATGATGCCAATATTACTCTAATACAAAACCAGGCAAACTATAGGTCCATATCCCTAATAAACGTATATGCAAAAATTCTCAACAAAATATTTTCAAATTGCATATAGACACATACGAAAAAGATATTCCACCATGTTCAAGTTGGCTGTGTTTCAGAGATGCAGGGATGGTTCAATGTAAATGGATGGATCTGGAAACTGTTATGCTAAGTGAAGCAACAGAGACTTAGAAAACAAGTGATGTATATTCTTTATCATTTGTAGATTCTAGTTCCAAGCCCTTAGACTTGAGTATATATCATGATGTAGCCACAGTTCCAGGAAAATGAAAAGAAACCACTGGGATAAATGGGAAGAAGGAGCTTGAGAGAGGGGGATAGTAGGAGACAGGTATTATTCAGGAGAAAAATTGGGAAAATGGGGGATACTTTAATTGGAGGGAACATGGAGGGCTATACTGTGGGAGAGAAGGGAGAGATTAATAACATTTAAATGGTATAAAATCAGAGGGGAATACTTGCCTGGCAGGGGAGATGCCATGATCATGAAGGTGGTTTTCCTAGGGCAAGTCTTATCCATTGCACTCCAGATGTGCTGACTCCTATGATTTTCCCAAATGCAGGAAACTTGACTGCATAATTTGTGGTAGTAGGGGACTGCATTCCTGCTGTCCCCTATATATTTAAAAAAATAAGCCAGAATGTAATGTATTATTTCAAAAGCAGGAAAAAGTGCTCATCCAAGATTTATGAGTATATATGTACAGCTGAAGGCTCTACAACAACAACAACAAAACACTTTCAGGCAGAAGTAGTCCAAGAGACTCCCAAAATAGCACATGTTATTGCCACAGCCCTTGATTGCCTACCTTGAAGGTAAACCCTGTTGCTGAAGACAAGACAGACTTTGGACACAGGACTTGGTGTAATTAAGATGAAACTGATCTGGAAGTCCCTTTTGGAAGACTAGTTCCCGTAGTATCAGAAGGTACTATGCAAACTGCTGAGAGAAAAATCAATCAATGACCACATTCAGCTGTAAAGTCTATGAATCATAACAATGACTGGTCAAGCAAATATTCTCTTCAGTGCAATAGTGTCACTTTTTATATCTTAGAGGTAATCAGCTGGACTTAATAAAGGCTCAATGGGGAGGGGGTACTGCAAGCATAGCCAAACACATATAGCTGTAGAGATAATAGATCAAAAAGAAATATCTACTTGTGTCACATTAATAAATTTGTAATTTCTTACTGTATTCTAAACATATATTCTTACATTTATACATGTGTACCTCACACCACTCATTAAAGAAGCTTCTTTTACAACAGATGGAGAATATTACAAATTTTCACAATTGCTCCATCACAGAGAGTTATTTGTGAACTGCTCAGCCCTAAGCGACATATCTACAATGCAACCTCTATACCTAAGGCTCATAGCATAACATGGGCAAAGTGTATTAACGCTCCTCTCAACTCCCACCAGCAAAGCTTCCACTTGCAACAGATTATGATTAACCCAGAAAACCACAACTCACCAAAGTGCAAAGAATAAGAGATTATAGAGCACTTATCCCTAGTTAGGACACCTAAATCTAACCTCTGCCAGCCAAGGCTCAGAGACACTGATGTGGATCACCTGCCTACAAGAGGCTACTTCCATCCTCCTTATTGGGACTTCATTTAGATTCCCAAGTATTATCATCCAGTATATCTGATGTTGAAGAAAGGCTCCTTTTAAATTGTGCATCCACTTCCTTTTTCTAGCCTCTCAAGAACTTCCTGGTTCCTTGCTATGTGGTACTGCTTCTTGGACAAACAATTGTCCCAAGAACATTCCTTCTGGGATTGCCTTATTGTGTCTCTTCTCTTCATTTCAGTACCTCCATCCCCTTAATTAAATTTGAGCTATTTCCTTTACGTTGTGGATGTCCCAGTATGAGGTCATCATATACTCTGCATGGAAGCTCTGAATGGGTCTCTCTTGTCAACCGGAATACCTATTCCCAAAAGCCCTATTAGGCAAAACCTACCTGTTCACATTATGCCCCTGCTGTTTTTGATTCCAGAAAGAATTTTGAATAGGCCAAACTAAGTGCATGAGGAGAGAGTCAATCAGGTTCATATCTCCAAAAATAGTCTATACATTTCAGTCATTTTGATATGAAGAACAGAGTAGTTATATACTCACAAGATTTCATGCATTCTGTCATATATATTAAGGCCTATCAAATGACGTTTGTGTCCCCAGATGCCCCTTGATGGGAGTTCATACACTGGAGCCTTGTCAGCCTATCTAGTGTTACTCCTTTTAAAAAAAATCAACTCTCCCTCACTCAGCAATGATCAACTGACAATAGTTCCCCAACTATGGTTGGGGCCTCCTGCCCATTTGCTGATTTTTGGCTGATGAGTTTATATGGGCCTTGTGCATGCTGTCACCATTGTTAAGTTCATATGCACGAGTTCCAAGCCTCCTAAATACTTTTGTATCGTTGCGGTCATTTACCACATCTGACTCTTACAGTATTTCTTCCCCCTCTTCTGCAATGGTCCCTGAACTCTGGGTGGCAGAGGTTTAATACAAGAGTCCTATTCAAGGACACATATGCTCTGCAGTTTCTTCTTTACATTTTGGCTAGTTGTTATCTTTTGTGTTCACTGCCCTCTGTTGCCTGAGGAAGCTTCACTTGTGAGAATTGAGAGCTGTGTTAGTATTCCATCTACCCCCTCTTCTGAGTTTTATTTTCTGAAGGGATTAAAATTTCTTTAGTGCTTTTTCTCAGAGAATTGTCACCAAATTAATTGGTGCCCAGATCATGGAATTTCACAATTCTAAACTGTGATTGAAAAAAAACCAAACCAAAATAGTCAATGGCGTTTTTTTATAGCAGCCCAAGTTGACCAAAATAAGGCCCAAATTTAAATGCATTTCATATTTACTTGTTTGCGAGACACTCCTTAGTATATATCACCTAACATTTGGATCCTCCAACATTGAGTTTGTTTACATCTTTGAATATGATGTTGGCTCACCACAGACTTTTACTTCTTATTTATATTCTCACTGTCAGGCACATTCAGTTTTAAAGAGAAAAAATAAGAGAGAGATATATGAAAGAAGCAGCTTGTTAAGGTAATGCTTTCCAGATGAGGCAGCGATCTCCTATTTACTAGGCTGGGAGTACTCAATTGCCTTGCTGTATAAAGTCTCCTTGCAAGCATCTTTCCACAAAGCTCAGGCAATACAGAACTAAGTGCCTTCTTTCTAGTACTACATTTTGAGTCAAGTACCCACTTCTGTGAAATGTAAGAAGAGGCTGCAAATTTTGTTTTTTGGAGTGGCAGTAATTTTGTTTTGTTTTGTTTTTTATTGTATTGAGGGAGTGTTTCACTATCTAGCCCCGGTTGGCCTTGAACTTGCTATAGCATTGGCTAACTTCGAAGTCCAGATTGTTTTGCTTTATCCTCATGAGCATTGGGATTACAAGTGTATGCCACCACCACAATTAATAAAATAAATTTTTTTTTTCTGAAAAGTACAGTCCTTTTAATATATCTGACTAAAACAGGTACTTGCATAATCTTCAAAGTGTACATTAGAAAGTTTAACTTAGTTGTAAAAAATAAATTATCTTTATGCTGACATTTGAGAGTATATCTTAGATATGAATACAAAAGCCTCCCATCATTCTAGAACAGTACCCATTTTTCTTCAGAATCTTTTGAAGAAATCATGTGTCTGGAGACTCAAATGCTTAACTATGAGAATATAGGGCTAAAACTTTTATGGAATTTAGATATACACAGCTGGCTATGACGTTACTGTCTTGGCTTGCCTCAAGGCTGGGACTACAAACTATGTATCATTCAGATTTGACTTGCACAATTTCAAAAGGAAATTTATAGTTCAACTAAGTGAAAAAAGTCTAATTTGTAGATTTTGGAGAATGGCTAGGAGCAACATTTTGGGAAGTAGGATAGTTTGTTTTCATGGATCATACTTTTTTTTTTCAGTAATGAAGAAGAGGACATATTAGGAGCATCTCTACACATCTAAGGCCACATGCTAGAGCACAGTCATTGTAAGTGTTGCTTTTCAGATATTGGTAGTAGTATTTACAGTGATTGTTAAGGCCTGATCAATTCAGTTTGACCTGAAGCTTGGCAGAGGATACCAGATATGTTATATTCTTGTGGCTTGTCAAGGCTATTGTGAATTTGTGCTCCTTCCCCTATGACTGGTAGTCAATGACGGGTAAGATCTTCTGGGAGAAAGTCAACCTAAGACAGGGAGTAGCTGGTTAAAGCTGTGTGTCGGTGACAGGTAAGGCTTTGCTCTTGCAGAAGGCAACCTAAGACAGGCACGGTCCTTCCATCCTGGATGTGGCATATTCTGTGGTTATATTAAATAAGAAAGGGGGAAATGTTGGGAGCTACTATTATTATGGGCACAGCCATTGCTGCATTAGGCTGTGGCAGCTTGCCTTGACTTAAGCATTGGAGAAAGAATGCTTCCATCCTGGGGGTTTCCCTGCTCTCTGCTTCTATGGTCTGAGTTGAAAGGCTATGCTTCCCTGATTAATTGGCAGTCTTGGAAACATAACCAAAGAGCTCTGTTTCAGTTTATGGGCATGGGAGTTTCTCAACACCCTTAGCTTGGTTTCTGTATAGAAATAATGAATTATAGTAGTTGCTAAGAATAATCACAAACAGTACACCTTATATCTAAGATATTTTAAGTATTATGTAGCTGAATCTTGGATAGTGTAAACGTTGTGTGAGTTTCGGTTGGTGAAGTAATGTATTCTTGGTGGTAACATAATGTATCCTTGGTTATTCCTTAGTTACTTTCTGTTTAGTGATGTATCCTTAGTTATTCCTTGGTTACTCCAGATCTGATTCATATATAAGCTTGCTTTAGTTCACAATAAACATGCACTGGTACACAAGCCTCTGCATCTCCTGAGTCTTGATTTCTATCCATCAGGGTCCCCAAGCCCTTCAGGCTTGGACTGTGGTCACTGTACCATGACAAGTGATCATGGAGGTGCTATCACATACTAAGTACCTGTCAAAATTATTCATTCCCAGAACAATCTTATCATTTGCTGACTTCTCAAACTTACCAACAGGAACATTTAGTCTAAAAATGTTTATCACCTTGACAATGACTACAATTACTGACCAGGGGACTCACTTTTCAAGTTCAATATGTGTTTTCTTAGTCCATTTTCCTTCTTCTATTGTCACAATGTCTCCAGAAAGTCACTGGGAAACAGGACTTCTTTCAGTTCTTGTTTTAAATTTTTTAAAATTTCAAATGTTTCTTCTTATAGGATCTCATTAACTTACTGAAGAAATGATATCTATGTTTTGAATTCTGTCATTACACTCTCTCCTTGTACTCAGAACAACTTTCTCTATCAAACCCAAATGATGACAAAATTAAAGTTATAATAAAATGTAAACCTGTAGATGCAAAATTGGGAGAAGTCCTTGTTATTACAAAGGTACTTGAAGCCTAGATTTTACCCCTGTGTTCCATGAAAGATTCAATACTTATTGTGAATAGCTAAGCTCTAGAAACATGGAATATGAAACAGACATGTCCCATTTCTTCTGATCAGCTGTAAGTTCAAGGCTGTGTGTGACAGAAAACCTATATTCAGCAAG